GCAACTGCTAAGGTTAAAAGAAACGTTAGCCATAAAGAACTTAGCACCTGAACTAAACAGGAAATCCAGCACCGACGAGTTGATGTTAAAAGTGTGAGAAGAGAGAAAAAATATGTTTAAATTTTATTACCATGTGTTCTTTTATATTTTCCTCAGAAAACAACATCATTCTAAATTAAAATAAGTTATAAATTACATTCAGAATTTAGGAGTTGGAACATATTTGAATGGATTTTGATGAACATTCATACTACAAAATGTACTTCTTATCTGGTGCTAACCCTTGTAACCCTCCAAACAATTCTATAGTTTGAATTATTATACAAAAGTAATAAGTGTATATATAATAGTTTTGGAGGTATTTGAACGTAACGGATAAAACTGGTACATGAGATTTACCTGTCAATTTACTGACTTGTTGTCTTTTCTCTGGTGAATAGTTAAAAATTACTGAGATTACTGCATATAGCCTTAGTAGCTTTGTTATAAATATAAATATATGATAAACAGAAATGAAACTACAAGGGTATTTTTTAAAACGTTTAAAAGACATGTAAATATCTACGTTTCCATGCATATCACAAGTTGACAGTTATTGTATAATACACTTTTTACTGAAATTGTGATACTGGAAAGGGGATAACTTACCCCTTTTAGATCTATTGGTTTAAAGTTTCGGGACATATCCTAATTGAACATGTGATAAGTGGATGACGAAAGTGCGACAAGATATCTTATTACTACGAATTTGTTTTTCCTTTCGCTAGTAAATATCTTTCAAAGGATTACGGAACACACTTGATTTTTTATAATGACAAAGACCGTATAAAGGTAAGTACATCCAGGTATACCCGAGAGATGCTCCTAGTTTGATTCAGAACTTTTGCCACAGTATACAAATTCATCAACTAATTCTGGAAGCTCGTTCTATGTGGATTGCAAATTCGGCTGACGTTATTAGTTTGATTTTTGTTTCCAAGTGTTATTAAATAATACTAAAAAAGTAAACGTGGTATGATATATAAAATCAATTCCAGAACATAGTAAAAAACAGGGCTGACAAGTAAACGAAAAATGATAAAATAAAAAAATAAACAGTTTAACACTAGTGCACTTGATCGTCTAAATATTCCCCTTTCTAATTAAACTGAAAAACGAAATATTGTATAGTTTGTTTGGAATTATGCACAAAGCTACACAATGGGCTATCTGTGCTCTGCCCACCACGGGTATCGAAACCCGGTTTCTAGCTTTGTAAATCAGCAGACATACCGCTGTGCCACTGGGAGGCATATTGTGGAGCATGAACATTTTGTTATAATAACTATTTATTTATTAAATATGTCTACTGAATTTAGTATTCTGTTTGTTTTGTATACTTTATGGAGTTAACGAACTTCTGAAATTACATGAATACTTTATGGAGTTTACGAACTTCTAAAATTACATGAATACTTTATGGAGTTTATGAACTTCTGAAATTACATGAATACTTTATGGAGTTTACGAACTTCTGAAATTA